AATAGGTTTCGGTCACATCCAGGTCCTTGTAGGTAGGCGTCGGACAGTCACCGCATCTGACTCTTACACTTAACAGGCGTTTCTGTTTCGAGTCAAATATATACCTAATGCCCGACACCTGTAAGAAACCTCCCATTTTGTACTGAGAGACCGAGTGCTCAAGAATTTTCCATAGAGAAGATCCCTTAGTCTTAAGAACTCCTATGGGATTACCGAATGGTGAGGTCGACACCACACTTTTCATTGTGATATTTCCCATACTTATAGAACTTCTGACCGCACCTCCATTTACAATAGATATGGGAACTGTATTCCAGGCATTTTTATGGACTTGAGACTCATCCAGGAAATATGTGACAAACGCATCGGCCATAAGATTACCACAATTGCACTCCTGTTCCCTGCAATACATCTGATCCAACACCACGTGACTGAACCCAACCTCTGTCTTATAGTACTCATCTATTTTTGCGGACTCCTCTTTCACTAGAGATAACACCTCGGGATCTGTTTGTTTGACAACTTCTTATTAAATTCTCTTTCTTTAAGTCTAAAACATATGTCATGAAAGCAAACCTTCTTTGACACTATCGTCCAGAAGAATAGGATTTCCAGAATAACTAGTAATGAGTCCATTGTCATCGAAAATGACATTAAGTTTTCCCAGATATTTGCCGTAAGCGAACGCCTGCACCACAAGTGTCTTACCATCAGATCCGTGATCAAAGACAACCGGGTATTCGCCTTCAGGCACTTCAATGGACGGCGCTTTGCCTGTGTATAGGAATGTGTTGGTGTGTCCGCCCACCATGACATCCAACTCCGGTATCTTTGCAGCTATTTCTTTGTCCTTCTCATAGCCTGAATGGCCGACAGCTATAAAAATGTTTAAGTCTTTGGGATTATATTGTTGTCTCAAGTTTGCGATCTCTTTCTTAATGCTCTCGATTTCATCCAAGAATTTGACAGTATTTCCGGGTCGGGCCAGGAATGCCGTCTCGGGCGTGATGTAGCCAATGATGGCTATCTTTTTGCCGCCCCTTTCCACCACAATTGACCGCTTGATTAGGTCCTTGAGTTCGCCGGAGGTCTCGATATTCGCGCAAACGATAGGCAACTCTCGCGACACGTTTTGCACGAAAGGCAAGAGTCCGTCGACGCCGTCGTCAAACTCATGATTGCCTAAAGCCATAGCCGTGTGTTTGAAGAGTTTGACAAACTTTGCCACAACTTTCCATTTCATGAACGTATACCAAATGGTGCCCTGAAAGTGGTCGCCACCATTCAGGAACAGTACCTTATCTCCATTCCCCTCCTGTTGCTGTTGCGCTAGAATATCGTTTACCTGATCGCGTGAATCAGAAAAATAAATATAAGTTTTGTTTTTAAAAAACAACAAAAAGAGTAAAAATAAAAATCTCTACAAATAATTGGTAGCATAATATACTACATATGGTTTGCTCTAAATAGCGCAAACATTAAATTTATACTACTAGTTATATAATAGGAGTGAAAAGTGTGTTCAGTGTATGGCATATGTATGTACACTGTATGGCATGTGATATATACTTTGGTAACCGTTCGGGCGATACCACCGAAACACTGTTCACCGCTTTGGCACTCAGAGCTCCGCACATTAATTGGCTCAAAATGAGTGTGAAAATCGTTATTATGTAAAATTGTTAAGTTTAATGAGTG